GAGCTCAGGTAATCAGAGAGGGATCTAGGGCAGGGGTTCATTTATTCATTCACTCAGTAAATATTTATCGAGTGCCTACTATGTGCCAAGCTCTGTTCTTCTGTTGACCACATGCTGGGCCGCAGTGGTGAACAAAACGTAGAAATCAATGTCCTCACAGCAGTTATGTTCCAGTGGGCAGGACAGTTGATAAACAAGATAAAAATATCAAAAGTTATAGCATGTATGATAGTGATAAATGCCAAGCAGAGAGAACAAAGCTGGGAAAGAGATGTGAATGTTGGGTATGGAGGAAACATGAATAATAATAAAACTTTAATAAAACAAGTGATTGGACATGTTCCTCCTGGGAAAGGGAATTTTGAGGAAAGTCTTGAAGAAGGTAAGGGAGTGACCTGGCAATTAGCTGGGAACAAGAGGTGTTCAGGCTAAGAGAAAAGCAAGTGCAAAGGCCCTGAGGTTGGAGCATCCTAGATAGTTTGATGATCAGGAGAAAGGTTGAGGAAGCCAGAACAGAGTGAGCCATGGTGTCACATGAATGCAAGTCAGGGAACAGAATCTTGCCACAACTTACGAGCGTTAGCACAGACTGGTTTTTGCTCTGCATGAAACAGGAAACTACTGAGTTTTAATAGAGAAGTGACAGGTTCTGATTTATTAAAAATGGGTTTCAGAGAATGCTGGGCAGGATGTGGAAGGAGGGCGACAGTTAGGTGGGACTGTGATAGTCTAGGGAAGATATGATGGTGGTGGGGTAGGTGATAAGAATGGTTCTAGAATATTCTGAAGTTATGGTTCCCAGCCTATCAGGAGGGATCCTGGCTAGGGACAGATATTTGAAGTCATGCTTTGACTTCTGGGACCAGTCAGCAGCATTTCACTTCCTGTGGTGAGTGTTTTGGAAATGTAATCTTTAAAAAATTTCTCTTATGTTAGTGGTTGTATAGGGCTATCATCCATCTATTTAGGAGGCTGAGGCAGGCAGGTCACAAGTCAGAACCCTGCGTGAGCAATTTAGGGAGACCCTGTTTCAAATAAAATCCATCAAGGGCTGGAGGTGTCGCTCAGTGGTAGAGTGCTTGCCTAGCATGTGAGAGGTCCTGTACTTTACCACTCTCCCAAAAACCCTAGCATGTGATCCTTTGATGATGTAAGTCAAATGATGTGGTTTCTCTACTTTAAACTTATAAATTATTACCCAGTTATTCAGCTTTAAAAACAAAGTCTGAGCCTGACTTGGTGGCACATGCCTGTGATTCCAGCATTATGGGAGGGTGAGGCAGGAAGATCTCAAGTTTAAGCCCGTGGCACTTTAGTGCCTTACTGAGACTGTTTCAAAAAATAAAGAGGAGATTAGCTCAGTGCAAAGGCTGTGGATTTAATCCCCAGTACTGGGGCTGGAGGGGCTGAAGATGATGTAGTAACACCTATAACACAAACGAAAACCTCAGAATCCTGTTCCTCAGTGTCTACTCAGCTGAAACCCACACTTGTGTGTTCCAAAGAACCCAAATGAAGATGCTCAGAGAACAGTAGTTGAAAGAGTCTTTAACTTGGGAATAATTCAAATGTCAATCAGTGGTAGAATAGATAAATTAATTGTAGTATTTTATATGATGCAATACTACACAGCAATGAAAAAAGTGAGCCACGACTATACACAACAATATGGATAAGCCTCACAAATATACTGTTTAGTGAAAATAAAGCCAGACACCAAAGGGCGATGCTACATTATTCCTTTTTTTTTTTTTTTTTTTTTTTTTTTTGTCTTTTTCCTTTTTATCGGTACCGGGGATCGAACTCACAACTGCCTGCTCGCGAGGCAGGCGCTTATGCCGCTGAGCTAAATCCCCAACCCCTCCATTTTTGTTTTTTGTTTTTGTTTTTCCTTTTTATCAGTACCAGGGATCGAACTCATGACTGCCTGCTTGCAAGGCAGGTGCTTATGCCACTGAGCTAAATCCCCAGCCCCTGCTTGTTTTGTTTTTTGAGACAGGATCTTGCTAGGTACTTCAGTGTGGCCTCAAACTCATTATGTAGCACAGGCTGGTCTCAGACTCACCGAGATCCTCCTGCCCCAGCCTCCTGAGTGCTGGGATTGCAGGTGTGCTCCATCACATCTGTCTTTGAGTCCATTCATGGAAAGTTCAAAATAGGCAAACTTTATTGATGGCAAACAGTGGTAGCCCGTGGGCAGGCAGGTGGGTAATGGTACAGGAGGGAAGAGGCGGCTTCAGGATTGCTGCAATGCTCTGCAGTATGATCTGGACGGTGAGTTAAAGCGGGGAGTCAGTCGGTGAGAATTGATTGAGTTGTACAGTTACGATTTGCGTACCTTTCTCCACATTATGTTTTCATGTGCAGCTCCCATAAAGCCCTTATCTAAAAAGGCTCTGCATGACAATGCCACGCCTTCTCAGCCTCTGTTTCTTTGTGTCCCCATCTTTTTCCCTCCACTCTTGTGATATTTTTCTCATTGCTGTTCTCCAGTGCACCACTGTTGCGTGTGCAGCTCCAGCACTCTGGGAGGCTGAGGCAGGAGGACTGCAAGTTTGAGCTCAGCCTGGCAACTTAGCAAGACCCTGTCTCAGAAAAAAATTAGATCTGCACGTACAGCTCCAGTGTCACCTCCTCCTGGGTGGCCACATGGCCTGCGCCGTCACCTAATTTGAGCCTTTGCTCTACATTCTCCTTGTTAGAGACAGCACCCTTGACCAGCCTGTGTAAAATAATGTCCTCTGTCACTCTTCCCCGCACTCTCCTGACTTCTTCCTCCCCTTGGCCTTGGCAGTAGCAGGGGATGACCACAAGGCCTTTGCACTGAGTTGCATCCCCAGCCCTTTTTAAATTTAAAAAATTTTTAAGCTCCTCTTGTAGTCCTCCTGCCTCAGCCTCCCAGAGTGCTGGGATCACAGGCTGTGCTACCACTCCTGGGTTCTTCTCTTGAACTTTCTCTTTGAGATGTCACATATTAGGGGAAACGTGATAGCATCTTTCTGAGTGTGGCTTGAAGAAGGTGATAAGAAGGAGGGTGAGAGGGTTTAAAGGTAGCTGATAGGATGGATGAATATGGGAAAAATACGTGTTACACATTGAAACCTCCCCCAAGTGGGAACTTAGAGCTGGGCACCTACTTGTTGCATGTAGCTCAATGGGAAGACGTGTGTTCAATCCCTAGTATTGCAGAAAGAGAAAGGAAGGAAGGAAGGAAGGAAGGTAGAAAGAGGGGAAAGAAAAGAGAAGCATGAAACTAAGTGGGAAGTAGAACAAGGTGACAGAGTGAAATGGTTGAAGTACCTAATGCGTATGCACAGATCCACAGAACTAAACCCACTCATCTACATGGCCAATTTATTTTTTCTAATTTTAAAGAAAAACAATAAAAGCAGTGGTACAAAATTTCAAAACGAGATTGTAAGAGAGTAGCAGTGGCTAGTACATTGTATATTGTGTCTTTTATTTTAAAAACAAAAAAAGGATAAAAATGATACAGAATTTCAAAACAATAGGAAATTAGCACTATTTAATATATTGCGAATTGTATCTTCAAAGTAGTTGTTCAGATTACAAAATTTAGGCATAAAAAATGATCAAACAAGCTGGGCGTGGTGGCTCCATACCTGTAATCCCAGCACTCGGGAGGCTGAGGCAGGAGGATCGTTGCGAGTTCAAGACCAGCCTGGGCTACAAAGTGAGCCCAAGACCAGCCTGAACTGCACAGAGAGACCCTGTCTCAAAAAAAAAAAAAAAAAAAAAGACAAAAAAATGATCAAACAGTCCATGAAAACACACATGTTCTTTTTGATGAACTAACAGATTAGTAGTATAGCTAGCTATCTTGTATATATTTACATATATACAAATACACATATATATACATATAATCTTTATGTTCTTTCTTTTCTCCTTTCCCTTATCCCAGTTGTTCTTTCCTTTTGAACACTTTCTTTCTCTTTCATTTTACAATATCTATTGTGCATTTTGGATCTTATTTATTCTTTCAGTTTTTTTTTACACTAGGGAAATAATACAATAGCACTCCACTGTATAAAAATATCACATCTTTTTATCCATTGCATAGTTGATGGGCATTTTTGTTGTTGATGGGCATTTAGGTTGTTTATAAGATTTACTTGTGCTGCTAAAAACATGGGTGCACATATATGGCTGTGGGATAATGTTTTCAATTCTTCTGGGAAAATAACCAGAAGGCTAAAAGCTAGATTGAATGGTGCCTCCAATCCTAGTTTTTTGAGGATCTCCATACTGATTTCCACAGTGGTTGCACCAGTCCGCACTCCCACAACAGTGGAGAAGGCTCCTTTTCCTCACATCTCCACCTACATTTGTGATTTCTTGATGACAGCTACTTTTCCTGGAGTGAGAAGGAATCTCCGTGTTTTAATTTGCACTCCTTGAATGACCAGTGATGTTGAACATTTCTTCATTATTTGTCATTTGTATTTCTTATCTGAGAAGGGCATGTTCATCTCAGATGCCCATTTCTGGAGTGGGTCTTTGAATCTGAGGGATCAGATTTTTTTTAAACTTTATATGTTCTAGATATCTGCCCTATGTCAGAGGGACAGTTGGCTAAGATTTTTTCCTCATTTTGTGAGTTTCCTTTGCACTCTGTTGGTGATTTCTTTTTATGTGCAAAAACTTTTTAATAAGATGAGATCCCAGTTGTTGATTCTTTGAAGTACTTCCCATGTGGTTTGTGTTTTGTGTATGAACTCTTTGCCCAACCCTATGTCTTCAAAATTTCTACCTACCTTGTCTTCCAGTAGATTTAGTATTTCTGCTTTAATATTTAGGTCTTTGATCCATCTTGACTTTAGTGCATGGTGATACACTTGGGTCTAGTTAGTATACTGTACATTGTCTATACAATTTAGAAAGTGAAGAAATGTAAGCAATTAGTCAATTTTTCATTATTATAACAAAATACTTGATGCTGGATATTTATGAAGAAAAGAGAATTATTTAACTCATGGTTTTTTAAAAATGTACTTATTTATTTTTAAACTTTATTCTTTTTATTAATACATATTTGTCAAACATAATGATTACATTTATCAATAGGGACTTGTACCTGTGCATAAAATTCAGTTCTTTTTTCTCCATTCCCCTCTCCTCCCTCAATCCTTCTTCCCTTCCACACTTACACATTTACACAAACTTTGTTTTCATTCTTTCCTTGTATTTTCTCTTTTTTTTAAAAAATGGTTAAGACTGTATTCTAATTACAGTGCTTGTCTAAATGAAAACTGAAAATAATTATACAAAACAGTTGATTATTTTCGTGTATTGAAAACAGCAAGAGGTTCCACAACACTAAATAAACTAGTTCTGAAGTTTCCCCATGATAAATTTAACAGCTCCAGATTCTTCAATGTTTATCAGAATACAAAAGAAAAAATAGAAGTCGTCTTTTCTGATGGCAAATTGGATACTTGCAGGCTGAGGGCAGGAAGCTACTTCACACATGGGGGGCTGCTCCGGGACTGTGGTCTGCAGCGGACCAACTGACCCAGCTTGCGTGCGATCCTGCTGGTGAGACCCGGACTTTGGCCACCACCTCTGAGTGGACACTGGGAACAGGGGCTGCCACTCCAGCTGCACGCTGACGGAGGGGGCTCGCGGGTCCCGCACCCGTCATGACCTGCCCAGCCAACCCCAAGGTGACCATGTGAGCATCAGTACAAGCACAACGCCATGCAATGCAGGCGACCCACAGACAGGTGGGCCACGGGGTCTCTACTGTACCTGTGCAGTGGATGGCGTTTGTCCCGTCTCTTGTGTTCCCAGAGGACAGCTGTCTGGTGGCTTCATTCAGGCCAAACTGGAAAACCGACAGTAGATATAACCTCCCTTCTTTGTGTCCAAGTGTTCTTATCTTGTAATTTTTAACTATTTTTAAAAATGCACTGAGTTTGAGTTAAAAATCAACCATCAAATGGATCCTGACACCAGTCTACAGCCCAGTAGTAGCCCCTGGAAGCCAGCTACCCATGCAACCAAACAAAACCCTTCTCGGTACTGACATCGAGTTGATTTATTTTTTACAATAAAAATATTGAGTAATATTGTACAGAAGTACAAGAAACTGTCTCAATGGAAACAGAAACTACTTAATGTTTTTTATTTACAATAAAGACCTGGCTGCAGGCTATGTCTGCACACATATAGTGCAGTGCATGCATATTGTGACCAAACCCTGGAGACAGCTCCTGGTACTCAGGACCGCAGAGTCGGACATTTGCCACATGAGAGGAAGGCAGAGGGCAGAGAGGAGGAAGTGAGGGGAAGGGGGTCCTGGTTCAGCCAGTCCAGTCCTTCCGAGAGCCCGTGCTCTCTGGAGGCACAGGTGGCCACCAGCTCCTGTGGCCTAGTGCAGCCCCAACTTAGGGGGGCCCGCCTGTCAGCAAACACAAGGAGGACAGTGTCCCGGAGCTCAGCCTGGGCCAGCATCTCATGAACTCCTGTGGTTGCTCCCCACCACAGAGACCAAGCCTTGGGTACCCTGGCAGTAATGGCGCCTCAGTGGCCAGATCTTGTCCTGGACACCTGCATCCCTTACGGTGAAGTGGACGTTCCTGTAGTCCAGTCTCCATTGAAACCTGTGGTAGGAATGGTGGTCACAATGTCACCATGCTTCAGTTTATACAGAATCACTGTCCCTCCGGCAGCATCCACGTCCACCATGAAAACGCGCTTTTCACTTTTGCCAAAAAGGCCTTTGAAGAGCTTCGGAAGATATTCCTCACTCCTGTGGATAGGTGGAAGCGACGCTGGCCAGAGACCTCACAGGCGGCTGCTCCGAGCCAGGGGTTGGTTTGTCTCCCACAAGACAGTGGCACTAACGGTGGACACGCCACACCCGGGGCTGCCCCATTCTCTCTTCCCCATCCCCCTTCTTTCCCCTCTCCTTCTCATTTGAACATGTTTTTCCTACTTTCCATTATCTATCCTCCACTATGCTCCTGATTTATCCTTTGGGTTTCTTTCTCATGCAAGAGAAACACTGCAGTATTTAAACATGTGTGTCCGATTTAATTCACTTAAGATTATAGTCTCAAGGTGCATCCATTTACCTACAAATGACTCAAGTTTATCTTTATGGCAGAGTAGTACTCACTGTATATAAATATCACATTTTGGATTGGTTCTTTAAATTGGGGGGGAGTCTGATTTTTTTTGAGTTCTTTATTTTAGATACTAGTCCTTTGTCAAAGAACAAATGGCAAAAATTGTTTCCCACTCTGTAGGTTGTCTCTTCATTTTGTTGGTAGTTTCTTTTGGTGTGTAAAAGTTCTTTAATAAGATGAGAACCCAGGTTTTGATTCTTTGTAATATTTCCTGTGCAATCCGTGTTTTGTTTATATAGTCTTTGCCTACACCTGTGTCTTCAAGAGTTCTACCTATTCTATCTTGCAGCAGTTTAATGCTTCTGTTTTTATATTTAGATCTCTGGCTCATGGTGCATGGTTTAGTGTATGGTGAGAGATATGGGTCTGGTTTTAGTCTTCTGCATGTGAAAAGCCAGTTTTCCCAGCACCATTTATTGAAGAGGCTATCTTTCTTCCAGTGAAGGCATTTGGCCCCTTTGTCAAAGATAATAGTAGCTGAGTGTGCTTTGAGTTATTTGAGTGATAGGATTACATGTATGCACCACCACATGTGGTTTGGCTCACAGTTTTGGAGGCTGAAAATTCAACATCAGGCATCCTCCTTGTCCAGTCTCTAGTGAGTGCCTGGGAATGGATGGCATCCGTGGGACCATTGTGGGAGTGGCAGAGGACACATGGCAAGTTCACATGGCAAGATGGAAATCTAGAGTGTGGGAGAGGCCAGTAACTTTCCACTGAGCCCCACCTCTGTGCGTGTGTGTGGGGGGGGCACTGGGGATCAAATCCAAGGTCTTTTATGTGTCAGGCAGGTGCTTTGTCCCCAGGCCACACTCTCTACCCAGGCCTTGCCTCCTAAAGGAGGTAACTTCTCCATGTAATATACGGGATTAGCATTGTAACATCCGAGAACTGGAGGACGTGTTCGAGCCACATCCAAACTGCAGCATTACAAAAATGTATTGCTCACAGTTCTGGAGGTCGAGAAACTCAAAATCAAGGTACCAGCTGATTATGGCACCTACTTGTTGCATTATGACATGATAGAAGCAAATCCTCTCCTTTTTTTCAGTACTAAAGCTGGAGTGCAGGGCCTTTTCACTGAGCCAGGGGTTGAACTCAGGGGGTTTAGCCCAGAGCAACATCTCCAGTCCATTAAAAAAAAATTTTTTTTTTGAGATTCTAGCTAAGTCACTAAATTGCCCAAGCTGGGTTTGAATTTACAATTCTCCTGCCTCAGGTTCCCCGAATATGAAGATTATAGGCATGTGCCACTATTCCTGGTTCTTTATTTTTCTTAAACACTCATTATCATTTTACATATTACTGGTTTCTTTGTTCATTTATTTATTTTCTATTTTTCTTACTAGAATCTAAGCTCCATGAAAACAGTATTTTGTGTTTGCTCACTTTGTATCCCAGTCTCTGAGTTGGGGCTTGGCATGTGCCAGGTGCTCACTAAGTAGTTTCTAGCTAATGAAATCTAAGTGGTAAAGAAGACAGATTTTTTTAAACCTCATGGATAAAAAGAACACTTGAATCTTTAAAAATGAGCATAAATAGTCTCGTGAGCTCTGAGCTGAAGGTTGGTTGCTTTGTTTTGTTTGGTTCTGGACTCTGAATGTAGGACCTTGTGTGTGCTAAGCATGTGCAATACCACTGAGCTATACCTCCAGCCCAAGAGATAATATTTATATTTTCCAGATAAGGTCTGTCTTACAGAGGAGACTTTCAATAAATGATGATTGTGATCTTTTCAATAAGTGATGATTGTGACCTTCAAAACTACATATCTGGGCCTCAGAATTCATTTTCTCAAATAAAAGAATATTGTAGAATGAATGAATGAATATTTTATTCCTATCTGGTTTTTGGACTGAAGGTCCCTCAAGTTCTTGAAATCCAGGTCATGGGGACAGGGAAGGAACATGTACACTGGGCCCCTTTTAAATCATGCATCTGCTAACACCATCAGTTTCTTGGAGAATCTAAATGAACACATTTCTACATCTTTGTTTTCTTTTGTGGTATTGGGGATCAAACTCACGACCTCATGCTTGCCAGGCAGGTGCTTACACTGCTGAGCTAAATCCCTGGCCCTACATTGCTACATCTTATCAAGACCTTTGTATCCAGAGAAGCAAGTCCAGGGCACTGGGGCACGCAGTGTGTGGAGACTGGATTTGTCCTCACAGGTAGGAGCAAGACCCAGTGGTGAGGATTCTAGATGAGATCACAGGACATCTCCGGATGTGGGGAGAAACAGGGTCACTGGGTGAGAGCCAACAAGGCCACATTATGGGCTTTAGGGAAAGTAGCTGCCCAGGAAGGTGCCTGGGCTAGGTTCTTGGCTGGAACTCTCGCTCCCACTCCACTTTAACAGTTGGCCACACCTGTCCTGTTCTCCCAGGGATGGCAGCAGTCAAAGGAAGCCTGCTTTGAGGTTGCATCTACAACTGCCCAGCGTCCACGGAGTGCTGCTCTCTGGGACCATGAGAGGAGCACGGGGCTGAAAGGGTTACTGAACTGGCACTAAGCCTCCTTGGGCCTGCTGGGTGCTTGATTCCATCAGCTCACACAGCTTTTCCAACTGTAATTAACTCTCCCACAGCGCAGCACAGCTCAGCTCCTAGTGGAAGCGAGAGATGCTAAACACAGTGTCCCTTGTTTAGCTGGGAGAAAGGAGGCGAGGGCACTTCTGGGTGTCCCGGCCTGAGGGCATGCACAGTGAGTCAGCAGTGTCTCCCAGAAAGAGAGTCTGGAGCCCTGGCTACAAGGCACATGCTGACTTTAATCACCACCCCACCCCGTCGCCCCCTTCACAGCTCTGCGGTGTCTGTTACCACTCCTCCATCAGCTCACTGTCTCCCAGAAACACGCTGGAATTTTCCAACCATGAGATCTTTCGCTTCCTTTTTTACCTCCCCCCTGTGCTTGTGGGTTTGTAATCTTTTTATTTCTCTTCTATTATTTTTCATGAAATCTTTTGAGACAGAAGGAAAAAACACATACAGACAGAAAGCCATTATTAAAAAAGTACAAATTTGAAAATTATGCTGATATCACTGTATAGAAAGTTAACAGGGGAAAAGGTGGATGGAATCACTCACCCCACATTCCAACGAAATCACTCTCGTCCTTCAGGGATTGCTCATGTAATTCTCTTCTGTGCATGGTTTCAGAATGTGGTCATCTTGGTTTGCATCGTTTATATCCTCCTTCTCACTTGATGTTTTCATCAGAAGTATTTCCTCCCTGTTTTGACATATTCTTTATTATAATCACGTCTTCAAAGGTTGCATCATATTCCATCAAGGAGATTTATAAGAATATGGGGCAACCAGAATCCTACTGTTTTCTTTGATTAAATGTCCACGGTGTCCCTGGTATGGATTCCGAAGTGCACTGAGGAAGGGAAAAGAGTGTGACTACAGACCAGTATATTTTGTTTTATTTCATTCTTGTAAAGACGTATCATTTGATGCTTGCCCGTGGGATTTAAGCCTAGTGTAAATGGATGGGAAAATATAGTTCATTTAAAAAAATAGTATGAGGACAATGGAATAGCCATCTGGGAAGAAAAACTTGGATCTGTATCCTTCTCTGGGATCCTTCCAAATGTACCAAATATTTAGATGTTGGGAAAAAAAGAAAAACTATAAAAATATTTGAAAAATTCATGGAACTATTTAGTAAATAGGAATTTTATCTAAGTATAAGACTAAGTCCAGAATCCATAAAATAAAAAAATGAGTAGTTATGATTATATAAAAATATAATTTCTTCACAATAGAAACCACTATGAATGAAGACACACTGGGAAATGTATTTTCAGTTCTGAATATAGACCTTTCTTCTCTACAGAACTGGTGTGTCTGGCCATTTTTTCTAGGACAACATGGCCCATTAAGTGTCTTTCATTAGCTTGCCCAACAAACAGAGCTTGTATGTCTTTGGATAAATTTATACTTACAAGTGTTATTCAATACTATTATAATGAAAAATTCTGAATATCGAAAGGACTAATTTCCCTAATATATAGAGAGAGCTTCTACAAATTGTTATGGGAACAATAACCTAATGGAAATATGAACGAAGATAATATACAGACCATCACCAGAAAAGGAAACACAACTACTTAAAACATTTGAAACATACTCATCTTCTCTCATAAAAAGAAATTCAGAGGAGACTAGTGGATAGTGAACAGTTCTAGTCTCTATCGAAAAGGCAATTTAGCTTGCTACTTAAGAGCCTGCATTTTAAAAAAAGCCTGCACATGGGCCTAGAGATTGTTTTGGCTTTTTTGGTTTGTTTTTTTGAGACAAGGTCTCACTACATAGTTCAGACTGGCTTTGAACTCACTGTGTAACCCAGGCTTACCTCAAACTCATGGTGACTCTCTTGCTTCAGTCACCTGAGTACTAGGACTACAGGCATGTGCCATCACACCTGGTAAGAACAGGGTTTTGAACCCTAGTTTAATTCACCATGATTTAGGTGAGTCAATCTCCATGGAAACCAAATTGATGACATCCACCCAAATTTAAAATATATTATACTTAATTGGCCAAAGATTGGAAACAGCCTAATGTGGCACTGGTTAACTAAATTATGATACATTCAAACAACTGAAACTTGAAATTACATTTGACCCAGCTATTGCTGTTCTAGGTATTTTCCCAAAAGTGGTAAAGACTTTTGTATACTGGTCTTATAGCAGCACAACTCATAATAGCTAAATCTTGGAAGTGGCCCATGTGCATATCAACAGATGAATGGATAAAGAAAGCCTGGTTATGTACACACGGTGAGTACCACCCTGCCATGAAAGATAAAGTTAAATCACTTGTAGCAAAATGGATGCACCTTGAGAACGTAATATATTAAAGAACTCATCAAACATGGAAGTTTAAATACCATGTGGTTTCTCTTACATGAGAAATTTAGAGTATAAAGACTAAAATAAAAGAGCACAGGAAGTAGGGAGATAGATCTTTCTAAAAGGGGAAAAGGAACAAGAGATAGAGGGAGAAGGGATGGGGAGATGGAAAAGGGGATGAAGAGAGAAATTAAGATGTGTTATACCAACTCCACACCAGGAATGTAAGTATAATGTGTTGCAAACATATATTTTAAAAAAGAGAAGGGAATTAAAAGATGGTTAGAGGATGCATTACGCACATGTAACAATTCCCCAAAGGAATGTAAACAGTATGTGTTACAAACATGTACTAATAAAAAGAATAACTATATAAAGGCATATTGTGCACTGATACGGAATGATGAAGAAACCAACATGCAAACAAGGATTGTATAGAGTTTCCTTGTGCAATAGAGAAGCAGAAGGAAAGAGAAAGTGGCCTTATTGAGGACTCAGAGAGGAGCCACCACGCGTGGGGGTTTGGCTTTCTCTGACCAGATACGGAAGGGGCAGAGGGTTATGCGATCTCTGACTGGAAGTGGTGCCTGGGGTGGGGCATTGCTGATTTGTGACTGGAATTTTCTTCGCGTGCCTGGAAAGGAAGTTGCAGTTAGGGCTGAAGGGGAAGGAGGAGGATGTGGCTATGAAGGTGAGTGTTCCCACTTTGGCCTTCCACCATGTTAGACCACCGCCGTGATTGTACAGTAATTTGTACTAGGGCGAAAACCTTTCACTATCTATTTCCTTATAGTAGTAACACCGGCTCATCTCTAAGGTACAGTTGGGAGGTTGTCACTTTACTGTATAAATGTCTGTGTGTGTGTGCTTCAAATTTTTCAGTGAAACTTACTGTCTATTCATGGAAAGTGAATGATTTGCATTTTTAATTTTTTTTTTTTTATTTTGAAGGTAGTAAAACACAACAGAACAAGACAGAACAAAGCCAATTGAGACAGTGTAATGAAATTGGTACAGAATTTCCCAGCAGGTTATCGAGCTGGGAAGTAATAGGTATCACAGTATATCTCATTATCTTCATAATAGTACTTCACAATAGTAGTTGTTCTTTCTTTCTTTCTTTCTTTCTTTTTTTTTTTTTTTTGTCTTTTTTGTTTTTATCGGTACCTGGGATCGAACTCACGACTGCCTGCTTACAAGGCAGGTGCTTATGCCGCTGAGCTAAATCCCCAGCCCCCAGTAGTTGTTCTTTCAATTACGTATAGCAAAATAAAATGAAGTACAGAACATTATAGAACTTATCAAAACAGAATATTGAATAGAACAGTACCATTAATCAGAATAAAGCAAAACAGTAGTAAAAATATTTGCCTTCAAAAAGATGGTAGAAGGATATCCCCCTTATTTGCTATATTGCATATGATCAGCCTCCCAAGAGATGCTCAGATCTCTGGTTCCCATTTGCTAAAGGAGGTCAGGGGAAGTGGGATGTTTGACTCTAAGCCCGCACACTGGTAGGCTCACTGTTGCTTCGCAGGGAGGCAGGCTGGTTGCTTGGTTTCCCAGCGTCCTAAATCCCAACATGGCCCAGATCTCAGGAGACGCTGGTGGTTCTCCCCCTGGGGATGCTACAGCCTGATTTGCATTTTTAAAGTTAAAAGTGGAAGATGCCAGCCAGAGGGACTGATCTTTAGGAAGCTGGTACTGAGTGATAGGAGGGAAGGAGCTTGCCTGCCCTCTGGGAAAGGCACGAGGCTATCTGGAGGTCAAAGCTCAAAAGCTGGGGCAGAGAGAGGTGGGAAAGCTGTTCTGTGGCCTCAGTGGCTGGAGTCTCCCCAGTGCGCCAAGCTGATCCTCACTAAACTCCTCTAAGGACAATGGGGCCTGGACTGGGGACTCACCAGGATGTGCCTAGGAGGGGCTGAGGCAGGAAGTTTTTAGACTGTCCTCTCGAAACGGATCAGAGGTGACCAGCCTGTACCCAAGCGTCTGACAGTCTCCTTCCAATGCCGTCTTGTGGGAGAACCAACTAGCCAATGTCTCCCAACCAGTGGTTCCCTTCAGAGACTAATTTTTTCCCTTTGGAGAATACTCTTGGGGTAAAAGAAAGACAGCAAGGTATTCCCAGAATCATTTCAATGGTTAGGAAGATGGGCCCTTCTTTTTATATCTTTTGCTAGAGCAAAAAATTACTTATGCTTAAATGCCATCATGATTAGTGATTTTCTGCTTAGTACCTGGGTGTCCAAACCTGGCTTGCCTGGACCACTCTGAAAGAAAAAGATGTGTCTTGGGCTGTTTCTAAAATATATAATATGGCTAATGTAACAAGACTTTCTTCATTTTAAAATATTTTCATTGTAATATTTAAAAAGAAGATAATATTAGCAGAAAAGTAGTGGAATAGTTGGACTTTTTTGTGAAACTAATCAGCAATGCTGGTCTGAGCTAAATGACTGCAAGGTTTAGCGAGCCCTCAAAATGCTTTTTAGAAATTTTTGATCTAATTTTACTCTTTGTGTGCTCCATCCTTGGAAATATTTATTCACAGATGTGCATTTTGCAAAGAAATAATGACATGAAGTCTGATTGTGAAGGGAGGTTTTTCCCCCTGTGGGAGCATAGGTTGTATAGAAATCTAGTAAAGAGACGTGATGACGTTTTTCTTTGAGGTGAGCATTGGACTGCAACACTATGCATTCCGAATTAATAAGTCATCATTTATTCTTCTAGCATCAATGGATGCTGTACATGTAATTATAACAAAACCATGAGTAAAAAATGATTTGATACTGTTTGTACCTTCATGCCAAAGTTGCTAAAAAACGATTTTAACTTATTAAATTATTTTACAAAATAACACAAGCCCAAGTTTGATACTGAAAAAAATTTACATGTGTGTTTAATGACAACAATGCCTGTCTTCTCAGGCACTGGCACCCACAAAGCTGGGATGCTGGTATCGTTGCTGCTGTGTTTTAGGCACAGGTCCATCTGCACAAGCGCATTTCATATCTGATACGCATGGGGTTAGGTGACTGTGTGGCACCGGCACCCAGGTGAGGTTGGCACAGCCTGTTACTCCCTACATAGCATTCTGTGTCGCCTACACAGTCTGCACTCAATCATGGCACAATTGAGTCTTTAAAAAGTATTGCTAAAGCCACAGAAAGATGTTAAGAAGGTTATGATCTGTGGGTGTCATTACTAGCTGTCCAGAGCTGTATATGGCCCGTAGGCTGAGCTAGTTGGCTTAGTGCTTTCCCACATTGTACGCTATTTATTTATTTGAGTCCGATTTTGAGAAGTGAAGCTAAGGACTTAAACAGTATGGGAGGCTGTCATTCAGTGGGAGACACTTGCCTAACGTGCTCAAGAGCCTGGGTTCAGTGCCAGCACAACAAACAAACAAAGTTTATATACAACTTTGTCAGAAGATTGCATCATATTTATTTCCAGCTGTGGAAAGGACAATGAGTTTTTCCACATGAAAGTGTA